CGTGGCCCGGAAGGCGGCGAGGAGCGGTCAGCCGACGCTAACTGGGGTGAACTGGGCCTGCGGCCCCCGCCCGGCTCTGTCGGGTCTCCTGTGCCCCCGCTGGCCCCCTTGCCGCGGGGGGCCCGGGGCAGAGCGTGCCTCAGGAAACCCGTGTGAGAAATCACCGGATCCTTACGGGCTGCGTCAGTTCGTGGCTTGGGGCAGGAGCCGAGGACAACGTGTTGCGCCTCAGCCGAGAAGTAACGCGCGTTTCCCCTGCTTGCTTGAAGCCTGTGAAGGCGACGATGGGCTTGCTGAAGTCACAGGCCTTTCGCAAATGATCTCTGCGGGGTTAGCTTCTCGTCTTGAATGTCCTTTCCGTGAGAAAATGATCGATATGATGAATGAGTTCCCGAAAAGGTGTGGCAAGGTGTTTTTTTTTTTCTTTGGTAACTATATATTTTTTCCTGATGCGTGGTGGCTCAGTTCAAAATGGAATTTAATCGCGGTGGTAATGCCGTGGCCTGCACTGGGAATCAGAGATGTTTTGCATGTTAAATTCTTTTACAAGGGGGAAAAAAAACTCCATCTTTTTCTCACAAGCTGGAGTGCCAGAGCTTTGAGCAGCTAATACAGACAAAAATGCTTAGCGTGTAGTTTTTCTGTGTCTCTTCTGCTTCTGTTAATTTTCTGCAGCTGTTTTTTTCTTGGCCCAGAAGAGGACCCTGCAAAAATGCATTTGGTGTATGTGTGTGTTTCTTTTTTTCTTTTTTTTTTTAACCAACAAAAAAATCCCCCGTTTTTTGCTTTTCCCTGTTGCAGAAGTTGTGATCCGTGTATTTGGCAACCTCAGGCAGTCGTATTTACTAACCCCACACTGTAGACTGCCACGCTATGGCTAACTAATGGATGTGCTTTGAAATATTAATTTGAAAGCTCTGAACAAATGTGGAAAAGAGAAGGCAGGGGCCGCCTTTTGTTGATTTGCTTAAGCATTTGGCCATTAGAGGTCAGAGGAGAAGCAGCTGGTGCCTTTTATTGCAAAAGATTTGCACAAGAGGAAAAATACAACTAGAAATTGTATTCTGTAGCGTACTTCTGTATGAATTAAGAAGGGCAATTGGAGGTGAATAGTGACCCTAGTTATGATAGCTGGAAGCGCAGAGCAGAAAGGTTAAAATAATCCTCTTTTATATGTGCCAGCAAAGTGCATTACCTGCTTCTAACCAAAAATTTCATATGATTGAAGAAATAGTTGGCACTGCTATTCGAAAGTCCCATAGTTAAAATTGACTTTAGTGTTCGTGCTCTTGTTCTTTCTGTCATGATTTTGCAAGTTGAACCATTGAAGGTTGTTATGTTGCAAAACAGGGTGGGAAGGTGTAACTAAACTTGCTTTCAGAGGAGACCAAGACCAAAACCAAAACGTTTGGGGTTTTTCAAGGTGTGTTTGTGCCAAGTCATCCGCTGGGTCACAGAAATGCCATGTATTGTTGTTTCATGTATTGACCTCTGCTTATGAGCTCTCACATTTGATCACAGAAACTACTTTCAATCTATACAAAGAATCAGTATTTTTTTTAACCTTCTCATCCCTCTTACGCACTTCATATGTTAGGTTTAAAAAATTACTGCACTGTGCTGCAGAATTTCATCCTGCTTCTGTAAAAATGTGCTGCTCTTGCAGAAATAAGTCCTCTGCTTTCATTGAGTGGAATCAGTAGCAAATTGTTGCTAATCAGGTGGACAGCCTTCTACAGAAGATGCTGATGGATATGGTACTGTTATATGTCAGTTCAAAAGCGTGCTAGAAAATATCCTACCTTTACCATGTGGCTCCAAAGAAATGTGATCCAAATCCTAGAGCAAGAAGCATTGCAGGACTCTCCCGAAAAAAGCAGAGTTCCTTGAGTATAGACTATAGTTATTACTACAGTATTTATTAAAGTTTATCATTTACGTAGGCAGTTTAGTTTGGGGGACGTAATGAATAGAGCAACAGTAGTGGGAGCAATTTGCTTTATCAGTCGAAAATGGTTAGAGCCAATCCCAGGATTGAAGTCATGATCTTATGTAGATGTCTGTCTATCTAGCTCCCTCCACAATTAATACAGACACCAGCAGAGCATGGTTCATCCTAACAGATGTATTCAGTAGGGCAGGCGAATGGTGGCCTAGAAGGGCCCGTTTCTTTCCATTGAGTATACGCTGCAGACATCCTCAAAATAAGCGAGAAAAATCCCACTGGAAGTTGCAGCATTAACTTCTTTTATACAGTGCTGGGCTGTCACCCTTTCGCTGCACAGGGGTTCCTGTGCTCGGTCACCCAGATGGAAATGCTGTGTCAGATGGCGGGAAAGGCTGATTTGTTGTGCCTGTGTACAGTGCTGAGCCAAGTCGGGTCTTGCCCCATGCACGGGAGCACCTAAGTGCTGCATTAGACAGTTATTTCTGCTGCAGCGGCCTTCAGGTTTGTGCAGATCTCATTTTAAAGCCAGCCAATGACCTGTAAGTCAAACATTTAGTTCAAGTTTGACAAATTGATTTGTATTTAAAATAAATGTATCTGTATGTGAAAGCATTATGTATGTATTGTTTTTTTTTATTTTTATATTTTTTTAAATCACGGAAAGTAATCTCTGCAGTGGATCTGCTAGACTCTCTTTTTTAAAATTTACATTTATTCACAACTACCATCCTTCCAGCCCAATAATCAAGTGGAGGAATTTGGAAAGGTTTAGCTGATTTTGTAGTGTCACTGTTTCATTTCCTTTGAATTAAAAAGAAAAAAGAATCAGAATATTTATGGATCTAAATATTATTTTTTTTGCAAGACTCTAAAGCTGTCATTTTGATTTATGTGGGCTCCGTTTGATTTTGCATGTATAATCAGCCCTTCATTGCTTTGAAATATTTCATTCTTGTACAAATCATTATGTGTAACCTGCAGTGATTTCTCTCCGCTGCTAAACATGGCACCACTTTTAGAGCCTTGTTATTGCCCTCAAATAACTTAAAAGAAATATCACTATGGTTAGAAACTGCTTCTTTTGATAAATAATCTTGTGCATTCCAGTTAAGAAAGGTAGGTAGGGCCTTAATTCCCTGGATTCAGAATAATGACTAATGGAAGCACTTCATTTTGTTGTTATTTGTAGAAAACAATATGTTTGCAGGAAGACGGAGTAAGGGCACGAGAATTACTCTTTATAGTTTTAATTGCGAGGTTTTTGCATGTAGGGAATGGAGTGCCTCCGTTTCAGAGGAGGTAATGACCATTGCAAGGTCTTGGGTATCCCAGTGCACCGCAAATGCTGAATGACTTTTGGGATATCAGAGTCTCGTGGTTCTGAACTGCCGTTCACTAATACCATGTCGGTAGCTCTGCATTTGTTAAACGGACGCTGACATCTTCATGAAACGCGACCATCGGTCAGGGTAGGGAAAAGTCATTTCAAAGATATTGATAGCTTAAAGGCAAAATCAGTTTCGTGGTTTCTACTGTTAGTAATTTGTCAGAGCTCTTTCAGGAATGATGGAGGGGCAAATGGTTTTAAAATAAACGAATCACTCTGGAAAGAAATTTATTACAGGATCTCATTTGAACTATTTAATTAAAAGAAGTGCTCACACTTTATCTGGGTAATTATTTATTTTTTGAGGAAAAATTAGCATTTTGGGTTATACTTTCCCCAGATACACTTTGGGATCTAGATAACACTTCAGCTGCAGTCTGAGAAGTATTTACAAAAACGAGGAGTGAAGATTATCCTTAGGCAGAAAGAGAGATGGTAGTTGCACCAGTACAAAAGAAGTGGAGGGAAGAGGTCACCTCTTCTCACTCATCTCCAAAATACGGAGATTGTTGTGTTTGTATCCTCTTAGTGGGACTGTTTAAGAAAGGCACGTGTCTTGGCCTGCGCTGGTGTTGCGTTTTGAGCTGTGGCTGCGATGCCAGCGGCGATGCTGCCCGTGTCTGCCCTCGGGCTCGGTTCCGGCTGGGGGGCCGCGCGGTCGCAGCCCCCGGTGCTCCAGGTGTCCTCTGTGCCTCGCTGGGGCCCCGCTGGCAGCGCGGAGGGGGGGGCAGCGCGCTCCGAGCCTTGGGCACAAGAAGGTGATGCTGGAGATGCTGGAATTGGCTTGCGTGCTTTGAGGGTATCGTTTCCGCCCTGGAAGCTCTGAGCGTGACATTTGTTGGTGTGCTCGTCCCACTAGCGTAAAACCAAGAAAGTAAGCAGCTATTTAGCGCCCCGATCAGCGGCAGTTGCTGCTCTTATTTTCAAGCAGTTCATTCGTAGCAATCGATATGCCACAGAATAACAGCAGGTGCCCTTTCAGGGCCAGTCAGGTAGAGGGGACTGAGGGGATTTAGCTTTATCTTAACAGCTCCCAGGTCTGCAGCCCATCTCCTGTTTGCACAGCCCCATGTCTTTTGTCTCCTGGTTCAGGTGCGTTCTTCAGTGTGTGGCCAGCGATTGTGTTTGCCCCTGAATGGTGCGTGAGGGAAGCCTTGACCTTCGGATGCAATCACGGGTTAAAACTGCAGGAAGTAAGGGTGTCCGTGATTGGGTTTGTTGGACACTTCTGATTGTAGGAAATGGTTAGAAACTTGTCATGCTTAACAAACATGTCAGGCTAATTCTCGTTTGTTTGATACTTCAGGAATACCCCTCCTAAGATGTATATAAAAATTTATAGCTTCATTAGGTCAATGACCGACTTTGTCCTCTGTCAGGTTCTTGCTAGTGTGGTTGTGCGGCCCAAGAGTATGTCAGAAGTTAGTGCACACGTTTGGTCAAGCCATGAGCCTTCAAAGGCATTTGCACTTGCATCTCCAGGCTTTTCGGAGTTTTGGAAGTCCTCGCTCTGTCGCGTGGGCGGACGCAAAAGAAGGAGCTAGGAAAGAGGCTGCTGGAGTCTGCGTCACGTTTAACTTCTGAAAGTAATTGCAATGCACGGACCTTGCTGGGGCAGTGCCGAGCGGAAGAGGTGACTGCCGGGCAGTTTGCGTTTGCTCTCTGGGGCAGGGATGCTACAAGGGCAGGGCAGAAGCCCTGAGGCTAATGGCAGTCTTTCAGAACAGGGATGGGACTTCTGTGCCTGTAGTGCTGGGGAGGAATTTTTTTGAGCATTGAGTTACTGCAGGGCTGAAATAATACCCAGGCAGAGATCTCTTTGTTCTGTGCTGCTGTTAGCTTTAACGTCCTCAGGGAATGAAAACCTTGCAGGGAGGCTGCGGTCGGCTGGAAAGCCTATTTTTGTGACTGTTGGACTCTCTTAGCCATTCTGTCTGCTTGTAGACTCTTATTTCTTTTACTCTGCTGTGTAGGAAATTGAGTCTATTTCTGTTTAAATACTTGGGTAATAGAGCCTGCTATTTAGTGAAAGATTTATGTAAATGGCTCTTTGTTTCACACGATTGGGCCTTACAGAGTGTAAGTTACATTGATAATGTAATTATACCACTACTACCATTTCAAAGCAGCGTGTTGTAGAGAAGCCTCCAATTTCTGCCTAGAATAGGACTTGAAAACCTTGCGGTTTTTTCTAATCAACTTTTATTCTGCAGGAAGACAAATAGTAGAGCTGGATTATAGAACAGGTTATTCTGGAATTATAGGTCTTTTTAGCTCAGAACTCAAGTTTTCTTTTAAATTAGAATTTTAGAGCACCTATTATTGCACATAATAATTGCACTACCTAAACCTATTTAGTCTTAAAATGCAATTTTCCCATCTTTGCTCATGCTTCATATTTTTGCATAATGTTAATCTCTTTCTGGTGGTCAGTATTTCTTCAATCCAGCACTTGTATTAGCACAGAGGTTGCAGTAACTTGAGTATTTTTCAAGTCTGGTAAATTATCTTGTGCTTTAAATTTTAGATTTCATAATTCTTGTGAACAGAATTCTTGTGATCTTGCTTGCTTTTTGTAATGTGCAATATAGTCCTTGTAGCCTTCTCTATCTCGTCTCTAGCCTGAGGAGCTCTGTGAGTTCCAAAACAGCCTATATATCCTTAGCAGTCCTGCTCTTGTACGTGTATTTCTCACAGGACAGGTTATTGTCCTACAGGCAACCTATACCATTTCTGCATAGTTCATGTGTGGTGGGGGACTGGGGAGCTCAGATCTCCCTTCTGTGCTCTCTTTCTTTCAGCCTTGAAAGAAACTAGTCTGTACAGCTTAAGTAAAAGGAGGTTACCTGTAGTAGGGACAGGCAGCAGAAAGTCCCTCGTTCTTGCCGCAAGGCAGCCTCCTCCGGAGCAGGACAGGAGGCTCACTTGCCAAAATGGACTTGTGTGCTGTGATTGTAAATAACATCTTATTGTCAAATTCTTCTAGAAACTGTTGCAGGAGAGTGAAATGTTACATGAAATATTCCGCATTCAGGTGACGCTGTACAGTATCTTTCCTGCTTTTTGCCTCAGGAAACAGGTTGTATGGTAAACATGCTTAGCAGCACTTCCAAGTAGCTTGCTGCAGAAACTTGGGATGCCATTCGCCTTTGCAAAGTGCAGCACGACTGAATTTGGAGCTGTCAAACTGCTGCAAGCTGTGGTTAGCTCTGAGTTGAAAAATATGATACAGGTCAAGAGTTTATATCTCACTTTATTTCTATTGGAAGGTGTCTATATGTTGCAGAGGAGCTAAAATCTCCCCTTCAAGCAGTTTTTCTCTAGCACTATTGTGGGTTTTGTTTGTTTTTGATTTTTTTTCAATAGCTGAACTAATGTTAATGCTATAAACTAGAGTTGAATATTCAATAAAACATTTTAAATTCTTCCTTTTAGCTAATATGAAGATTGCTAATATAAAGCAGCTCTTACCTGTTGAGAGAAGCTATGAAAAGCTATGCTTTTGGCTTTATCAGTGACTGTTAGCAATTTTCTTTTACCCACGTAGACAAGTGGTAACGTTTACACTTCACATTTTTATCCCAGTATCCTAGTCCCATGGAGAAACAGCGTAAGAGAAAACAGGTAAGCTGGCTCACTGTTCTTAAAAAGATGATTAAGATTATTGATGACATTTAGTGCTTGTGCTTCAATGGAAGGTGGGCACTGAATGGCACATGGATGGGGTTCCTGCATGCCGGATGTTGTACAGGCAGGACCAAGAAAATGTTAAACCTTCTCCCAAAAAGGATTTAATTGTGTTAAGTATTTGAATTTTCAGCTTATTCTGAGCTTCTTAGATATGACTTGCCTAGTTTCTCTGTAGTATTTTCTTTTGTTGTACATTTTCTTCGCACTTCTGTGACAATTCCTTTCTGCGGTGCTCTAAGGATCAGGCTTAAGGCCTCTGGAATTAACTGTAGTGAGCTATGGATCAAGCATCAGGCACTCCACAGACGTTTCACTACTGCAGTTTCATGATCCCTGCTGAAGGAGGGATATATTACTGTTTCCACTTTACAGATGAGGAAATAGTTGCAGGACTCAGTGACTTGCCCAGCTGCCTGGTGGGATGCTAACAGTCAGAAAGTGAACACAGATCCTCAGTCTGTTGCTTTCTCAATTAGAATGCCTGAAATACTGAAAATTGCATTTCACCACTTGCCAGTCACTCATGATACTGACAGGAAAAAATATCTGCTCAAGTGAGAGCGCATCAGTCACATCAGGATAGTGCTACTGCATGGATTTTTGTTTTCCAGTTGCCGAGTTTGCAATTAAGAAATATTTGCAGTTAGGCACTTAAAGCAACATACCTATGGAGAATATGTATTAAACAGTTATGCTGCCATATGGGAAGCAGATACCACAAAACTTTGTGTGGAAATAGCCATGCTATTTCCAAACACTGGAACTGAAGTCAGATTCTCATTTGGGATGAGGTAAGAGCTGCTGGACCAAATGCTTGTCAATGCTCTTTGTCGTACATTTAGAGTTGTATTCTGTCTTGCAGCTTAGGTGTGATGGTGGCTCTTAATTCCAGGGTTATGCTCTCTTTCTAAGCAAGTTGTTATTGAGCTTGCCTTGAGTTTTAAGAGAACAGAACATTAGGACTGCCACTGCAATTTTTTTCAAATGCAGTAAACCACTCTTCCTGGAGAATGCTTTCTCTCCTCTACATTGCATGGAGATACTTCATATTACTACTGATGTGATGTGTTGTGAGAGTTCTGAAAACGGAACCCCATAAAGTTTTCATTTCACAGATCCTACCAAATACAACTGTTTGGGAAGGTACTCTTATCTCTGGGAAGTCTTCAACGTGGGCTGCCTGCCAGTTGGCTTCTCATTTGAGAGCGTTCTGAGGTTTCTGCTCCTGATCTGAGTCATTAAATATTAAAATGCAAAGTGATTCTAAAAGACAGCCATTTCTGGCGATACTAAATAACTATAATTTACTTCCTAATAGATAGTTTTGTCCTTGTCACTGGGTCCAATTCAATACAAAAATAAATGTGTAATGAGACAGGACTCTTCTGTAAATCTCCTATGCAGTATGTTTGCCCAGAGAATGTGCTTGAGAATATAAACTGGGGTGTAGACGGAAATAAAACAAAATCTGAGCCTGTATGTCAGTCTGGTAGCTCAGGAGCCTCTGCTTTTTCCCTCGCCCTAGTCTTTGTGCAGCCAGTAGCAGAGAGAGCAGGGTGCCTCGGTAGCACATGCCAGACTCAGCATGGGCTTCGACATGCTCGCTTCTGTGAGGGCTGAGATTGGCTCTGCATGCAGTACTTTGCTACTCATAAGTACTAGTGTAAATGCCAGTAAAATATTTGTATCACACCATCTGTTCTGGGGTGGATAAGGGGGGCTGGATAGTAGTGATGGATGCAGATACCCTCCTCCTGAGGGACAGTGCAAAATGCCTGTAGCATCTTGTTTATAGCCTTCTCTCTGGCAAAGGAGCAGAAATACTGGGTTATACTTTAAGAAAAATCATAATGTAGTGTTCATTTGCCAGCGTTTCTGCTTGCACGTTTGGTCTCTTTGCTAAGTCCTCCAACTATTTTATTTTGAGAAATAGTAATAGTCTTCCCTTCTGATTTCTTTTTATCATCAGATTTGTCTACAGGGATTGTTTACTGGAGGAGAATTGCAACATGTCAGAATGTAATTCCTGAAATCTTAAGAAAGGTAACTACCTAGAAAAGTAGTATGTTATGCCACTGTCAAACCAACACATGGGTGTTGGGGAAATGGTACGTGAAAGGTGTATCTAATTGCCATTTCAAGCAGGGCTTGCCAGCTGGCAGCCCATGGGCCAGATCGCGCTGTGGAGTCCAGCCAGCCTGTTGCCTTTCCCTGGAAGAGCCGAGGACGGCTGCCCTAGCACTGTCTGCAGCCAAATGCTGCTTCCTAGAGCTGTGCCCAAGCGGGAGCACGGGGCAGGGCTGGAGGCGTGAGCCCTCCTGCCCTCCGAGGCGTCCCGAGGTGCCGCGGTCCAACATTGCCATCAGCGTGGCGTGTGGTGCTGGGGTCCAGCCCCGTGCCTGCTGAGAACAGGCTGCAGTGAAAATTCAGGCATTTCCCCCCACTCCAATATAGTAATCTTGTTGTTGTCATCTCTCACGATTTTTGTACGGTTGATGGTATTTTTATAAAAGCCCAATCTCCTGGCTCTCAGTGGAAGAAAACGCCTATAAAGTCTCAGAAAAAAGAAGGCTAATAATATATACTGGGCAATTATTTCTGAGCTGATCTCACTTATTTTGGATGTCTGATCCATGACTTCTGAACACGTTGGGTTGTAATCTTTTACAAAAACATTCTGCAAATGAATTCAAAGAGAATAAAAATAATTATTAATGTGCCCAAAGCACATTGCAACCTAAATACAGCATAGTATCCTTATAGAAAAGATAAGGAAGGAATCCTTAAAGGCTGTAGAAAATGTAAGACACTGTGATGTGCAACCCGTTATTGTTTATCTGCTGTATCTCTTTCTGTGGCAGTCCTTCCTTTACGTTGTAAAGACATTTGTTGTGCGATGAGAATTGGCCTTAATTTATTATGCCTTTCTTGTCGAACATCTTGCATAAGTCTATGTACAGAAAAGTATATTTATATTCATGCATGGTTCAATAACTGTATTATTTTACAGCTTGTATGCTTAAAAAACAATATGTACCTTTTTTCCTTGTACTCAAGATACTGTATGTTTATGCTTCTAAACATTTGTTTTTCTTTTTCGAGCCTCATCCACCAAAGAGAACATATCATTGTCCTATATATGCAGAGTGTAAAATAAACTAATGGTGAGATTTTCATCCCTTCATTAGCCCACATACGCTAGATAAAAGTCACTTAGTTTGACAAGTGGGCTCTAAAAGTAGAAGGCCTGGCTGAGGGAGATTTCTTTCAGCGCAGGAACTTAAGAAGGGAGTTACAGTCAGTGTTTTGGCTATGGCTTTGTAATCCGTTTTACCAAGTGTGTTGGATTTGTTATGAATAAAGGCAGATTATGTAGCCTTGTGACTGCAGGCAGCTGGGGACAGGTCACTGTAAGGTCCATAGCACCTTGAGTGTTTTGTAACCTTTAGATTGGGTGAAAGCCTCGTAACAGAATGGTGCGAAGGTGAAAGCTTTTGTTGCACCTTTGTTTCTGGTGGTGGTTTTTGGCTGTGTTTTGCATGTAACTTTGTAAATGGGTTCTGTTATCCTTCCTTGTTTTAAATAGGCCATCAACAGCACGACAGGAAACATGAAGGGATTCACATAACTTAGCATTTAGTAATCTTGGAAGTCTGGCTGGGGACTGAGCAATTTCTGTAAATCTCCGACCATTTGCATGGGATTTAGTAGCTGCTGTTGAAATTTACCGTTCTCTTCAGGGGCTAAACATAGGCGACATGCTCTCTTCCTTGATCCTTGGTTTTATCATCTGAGGCTAGTAATATATTCAAAATATTGAGAAGTGCTTCTACTCTCAAAATAGTTTCTTTCAAAGCTATAATTCTTCTACTTGCCAGGTCACTGTCTTAAAAGTGCCTGACATCTACTTAGAAGAGGAATCTTGGCTTGATATGCAGAAAAGAAATATGTTTATGAAAACTCATTGTGTTACGTGGACACAGTATGTGTCTGTAAGTGAGGACTCTGTCTTCAGGCAGAGCTTGGAAAATCCAAATTGGTGAGTGCTGGTCTGTGAATATAGAAGTGTATATACGCCTACTCAGGTTGGCTCCTGCTGCCTCATAGCCCTGAAAAAATGTGTTCTGTTGCATTTGAATGCTTGGAAAGAGAGGGGTCTGAATGATGATTTCTTGGGTATATCTTGACAGCATTTAAACCAGCAACTATAGATGCCCTGTAGCTTAGGTTCTCTGGCTAGAGCACAAATTATTGCCCAAAATTAATTTTCTCTCTGTGCTGCTCTGCGGTCATAGAACGCTAGCCTCCTGTTCCTGCACAGTAGACATAGCCAGAGCTATCATTTTTTTCCTTGTGTCTGCCAACAGATGCCTGTCCAGTAGCATAAAATTGCTGGCTAACTCCTGCTTGCCAGTCATTGGTATGGACCATATATGCTCCCAAACGATTTTCTTTTTCTGGTGTTTGGCCCACTGTCACCCCAAAGATATAAGCTATCTTAGCACTTTTCCTGGGAACATAGACATTCATGCTCATGCAGAGATGAATGTAGATTCCTATTAATTCTTACTTTGCTCTGATGTCCATTGTAATTAGTCATTACTTTTGCCTTGTCATGTTCCCTGGGAAGCATGTCAGGGTTGTTTGGTAAAGTCCCTGTTACTTCTGAAAGCTCTAAGGATGTTTTAAGAAAAAAAAAATTTAGACAAAATTCAGTTCCTTGTGGTTTAGGCATTCTTGAAAGCCCCATGCTGGGATTTAGCTGTCGGAGGACATGTTTTTCCTGCTTTTTAAACCATTTTGTTTCAGAAGTTTGCTGGGATCCTCTAAACTCACGTTGAGGCCTTACTGAGGCTTCTGAGAGTGGAAGCTTAGAGCTTCACCTAAGTCTTCCTCTGGGGAAGATTAAAAAAAAATTTCCCTCACGTCAGAATTTTACTGCAAGTGTAGATGTTGGTTCTTTCGGTGTAGAAACCCTAACTACAACTAGTCAGTCTCTCAAGCTCTATTTTCAAGGCTCTTCAGTTTCAGTTTAGAAAAGAGACTGTCCTCAGCATGGTTCTTCTTGAGACTTGAGCAGGAGAGCTGTCTAACCTCTGTAGTGACTACTTCTCACTCTTGCCTTAAAGCATACTGTAGCAATCGGGAAGGTGGAGAAGCGGTTTAAATTAAAGGTGTATCTGGACTGCCGATAGTTATGCAATTGCAGCCTCAGCAGGCTTGCTTAAACTAGCTTTCCCTTGCCTGCCGGGGATAACAGTGCCTCTGGAGTGAAGGTTAGCAGCTGTACTGTATACCTGTAGTATCCCATGGACCTCAGCTTTGCTACCCCAGAGAGTTAGATTCAACCAAACATGGGTTTACCTATGAATACTGCTGTCACCTCTTCAGGAATGTTATGATCTTATTTAACAAATGCTAGCTGACATAAGTAGGTCTTGCAAGAAAGTTTCAGCTTTATGTAGTACACATGTAGTGACATTTACATGTGAATAGATGCAGGAATTATGCAAAGGACTTTAACGTGAATGATGTACGATTGCACTGGAGAGAAATAAGAAAACATACAATGAGGAGATCAAGTGATCCTGATTAGTGGCAAAATTACACGTTATGCCCCTAAAGAGAGAGCAACATTATGAGACAGAATAACTTGAGAAAAGACAGAAACCTCCTGTAAACGGTGTTTTTGTTTTTCCCTTACTAAGCACTGCTGGGTAGATTTCAATAGCAACTTCATGAAACTTTTCAGGGTACCAACAGTGTGAAGAGAAAGTCAAAACTCTGCCTGTCAGCCAGACACCGTGCGCATGTTGTAGTGGAATATTTGTTTGCTTAATTAGCTTTAACATAGCATTAAGGATACTGGTGAATGAAAGCAGAGTGACGTTTTGCTGGCTTGCAACTTGATCAGCTCTTCCAGCAGGTTGACTGCCTTTGCGTCCCCCTGGCACTTTCAGCGTACATAACCAGTTCAGCAGCGGACATAGACAGGCACGAGCATCCTTTGAACAGAGAAGAGAGTTGGTAGCTCAGAGAAGTTTGTGAGGCTTGGATGATTCAAACTGGGCTATAGACAACCTTACTGGGCGTTCCCTGAAGTGCGTTACAGCCCACAGCATTTGGATTAATTCAGTGACTCTTCAAACAGATCTTTTGCCAGAGGGGTTAGAGAGAGAATTACTGTTTTGGATGGCTGCAAGACTGTTTCTCTTCATACATAGCTCCCTAGGTGCTAGTGGTTGGATGCCACATTTTGATACTGATGGTGCTGATGGGGATCCAGAATATTTCTGTGCATGTCAGATGAAGTTACAGCTATCTAAAACTGCTGACTTGAGCACAGCTGCTGTGAATTTAGACCAATATGCTGTAGGAAATATGCTGTAGGAATTCAGACCAATATGCTGGACTGTACGAGGAATCCAGTCCCTGCTGGGACCAGTGGCTTACGTTAAGTAGAACCTCATGCATAGTGTATGAATTATTTTACCGAATTTGAGGTTGGGAGTTATGTCGTTTTTTGTTTTTTTTTTTCAGATAGAGAACTGCAGCTCATGGAAGGGAGGATGTCTGAGACCTTCCTGATGTCTTTAATGGAACTGAGGGAATTGAACTGATGTTCCAACCAGTGCGTTTAACCACAGCGTAGTGCTTCCACTCAAAATTAGACAGTTATTTTGTCTCAAATAAATATGAATGCAGTGATGCCAAGTGCTACATATTCTTTCAAAGTGAATTATTGTGGGTGCTTCCAAACAGAGGCTATAAGTGACTGGAAAGTATCTAGTAGCAAACAAGTATTACCAGACATAAATTATAAGTCATTGAAAAGGCATGATGAAGTATATCTGTATGTTACGAGGCCAGAAAGTACCTATGTTATTGTCTTGGCTGACCTCTTTCATGACAGTTTTTATGGGGTTTCCTTGAATTAATTCCTGTTTTAGACAAACATCAAATCATGCTGATTAAAAAAAGAAAAAAGAAAAAAAAAGCCAGTTATTTAATAACCTTTACCTTAGTAAAGTTGTTTCAGTGGCTAATTACCTTCACTATTAAAATGTGAACTGTATTGCTAATATGAATTACCCTGACTTCAGATGGATGATATGTTATAAAGTTAATTACTGGATGTAATTCAAAGTACTCGGTTCAACACAAAGGTCAGGCTTTGCTTTTGTATTCTTCATGCCAAAAAAAATATCTCTGCAACTCCATTTTTGTAGTGAAATATAGTATGAACTAGCTTTTTTCTTGAGGTTTTTCTTTTTTTTTTTTTCTTTAAGACTGTCAGTCTTCATTTACCATCAAAGCCATGATTTTTTTCTTTAGCTCACTAGCCGCTGTAAAGGTAAACAGGGTATTGAAAGCTGCACTTCCATAACCTGTTAAAATTAAAAGGGACTAAAACACAAATGCTGTCACCCTGCTCTTTCTCTTTGTAAATGTTGTGTAGCTGTATACATTTGCAGTGCAAACATAACAAAAATTGTATGGATTGTCAAGCTTTAATAAGCTGGTGAGCAGCTAGGTTGAGGAAGACCTTTCTCCTATGTTACAGTTTTAGATAATTAGTTAAGTACGTTTTTCTCCCTTTTATTTTGATGCATCTGGTGTATGCCATTTCTGACAGGACAAAAGGGTTGGTTGGTTTGTTTGTTCAAGCGTGGCTATCCTGATGTTCCTGAAACAAAACATGATAAAGCTGAATGGTGGAATGAAAAATTGCCTTAAGAGCAGGCTGTGTGCATTCTGCTAGCAAGCAGATCTTCGGGCTTGGTGGCCTCCATGCTGGGCCTTACCCTACCTGGGCCCTAGCCAGTACGATACCACAAGCTGTGCAGAGTCCCGACCTGAACAGTATTTGTCTGCAGAGAGCGATCAGCTCGTGCTGGTACTGGGGCCGCTGTTGTAGTATTGCACTTGGACTAACCTGGAATACCTGTAGCACTCCACATGGGCTATTCACACTGGAAGGAGGAGCTGAAAGAGCTGTTGGGGTCTGAATTTTCACTACTGATGTATCAGACCAGTCTGAATCTCATCAGCCTTTTCCTGTAGTTGCATGTGCACATGCTTGGATTGATGAGAAGTTCTAGACTAATTTGCATACACTTAGCCTATGAAATTGCTTTACATACTGTAAGGGTGATCTTGCTTTCCATACAATATACTGAATAGCTCAGCTGAGCTGGGCAATTTCTGCACTGACTGTAAAGGAAAAGACATTGGGAAGAATTTTCTGCACATGCTGCCAAATCATAGGGAAGAGTCAGTAGCAAAACTCCTGCTGTTGTTTGCTGCACTTACATAGAAGTTACATACTGGCATATTTCCATGTATCTAGGCAAGTTATACCTATCTTTCAGCAATGGAAAATCCCATATGGCTTGAGTTTTGTCTCCAGTGCCATTTGTCATCCCTCTTTGTTTTGATTTGACTAGTTTCCCTGCAGTAGAATTGTCTTTGCTGTTTCATTTTTGTACCCCATAGCTGTCTCCAGATTTCCTTTACTGCTGAGCACTTTCCTTTATACATACAAGCCTGAGAGATCTGAAGTAGTCTTTCTTCCTTTGTGTAGTGGGGACACGCTTAGAAAATGTCTCCCTAAGAAAAGCATACAGTGCATGAGTAGTGGTCAAAAATGTCTTAAACCAGAGATAAGGAAATGGGGGGAAAAAAAAAGTCTCCCGTACAAAAGCTCTCTCTATTGAAGGGCCTTGCACTTAATGTGACTTTTAATTTAGTTTTGAAAGCCATGCAGGCTTTGGAAACTCTCCTTGACACTATCTGAAGAAGAATGTTGCTAGACTTTTATACCGAAGACACTTTAATTAAACTCCTGTCACGAAAACAATTAGGCAAAATTTGCCGTACTTAACTAGTCAATAATTTAGTAGTTGGATCTCATTAATAGACTTCTCCCTGTGACTGTGTTGTAATGATGCAGCCTTGCCAGCTGTGTGCTACGAAAATCAATCAGAGATCAATATTTTCCTTGAGCCTCCCTTTTTTGTCTCTTAGAATGGTGAAACAGCAAAATAAATCCCAACCAGAGTAGCTAAGTTTAATGGTGGATATTTACTGCTGACATCCATTTTGTGGTTGGGGAGGGGACTTCTCTTGTTTTCCATATCTTTCACTTGAATGCCACACGTTTTTCTTCTTACAGAATTGCATTGCTAGAGATAAATAGTCATGGCCTGCTGTGGGTACTGGTGGTGGAAGGATGACATATATGCTTCAGTGCTAACAGTGGGAAGTCATTCACATCAGATCTCTTCTCGCTGTTATCACTGTCCCTATCTAACTTGAGTGAAAGGATTTCCTGAGGACTCTTATATAAACTATACAAATTTAGCTTACTGTTTCTGCAGTAATGTTTTAGCATTTGAAGATTGTAGTTGTGTTCCTTCTATCATCTTTAGGCTAAACTACCTTGCTGATTCAATCTTGCCTCACATGTGATGTTTTCTAGACTTCTGTTTTTGTTGCAGAGCTCTTCAGGCTTTTCCAGGGAGCTCACATCTTCCTTGAAGCAGTGTCCAACTGAACCTTCAGCAGTGCTGATTACAGGAGGAGGATTGTTGCACATCCTTCCGTTGCACTGCTAGTTCTACGTCTTAGTACATTTGTCTTTTTCTCAACAGCATGACAGTACTGAATAGCTTTTGAGCTTGGAAGCCTCAACAAATCCCAGCTCCCTTTATGTAGAATTCTGTAGTGGTTGACAGTTTACCCTCCCAAACAGTCTTTGCTCTTGGCTAACTGGAACAAACGGCACTGGCGGTTACTGAATCTTGTCCCTTCAGACTGAATTTGCTAAGATCATGTTGGGTTCTTAGCACGTCTTCAGCACGATCCTCATCCCTCCCCTTTGCGTTCGTCTGCAAATGAAAGCTGCAGCGTGCACCTTATTCCACTATCCAGACTTTTAAGAAGATACTGACTAGCGCTGGACTGATGGTAAATCCCTGTGGAACTCCATTTAATACATCTTTCCATTTGGAGAGTGAGCTGTTGATAATGGTGTTTTTTCCATATTAAATGTGTTCTTCTAAAGTTGTACTTATCCTGTAATATTTTTTGCTGGAGCATGAATCCTTAATTTGGTTTTGAGACTGTCATACAAAGTATATGAATGTCACAGATTAACAGCCTACTCGGATATCAAAATAATAACTTTATAAAGTAGAGTTTACATTTAAATGTTTAATAAGTAGACAGAGAAATAAAATGGTGCTATTTTCCTCTTCTGTAGGACAGACTTCACACAAAAAGGCAGAGTATCAGTTACAGGGGCAGGTTTGTTCAATTGTGTATTGGAGGCTTTTGCTCAATCATTTCTAAAATAAGGTGTGAAGAAGGTAGGTTTACTTTTTCCTTGGATTTCTTCCTAGGATTATATTCTAAATCTTTTTAAATTGCCAGATCATCTGGACTTAAAATTAAATTGGTGCCTTAGATCTTGATTCGTTAAATCTTTTAACTGTTGGGAAAAAAAAAAAAGATCTTTTCTTTTGTTGACAGAGAATAAACAGAACAAAAATTGATTTAGTTTTTACAGTAATTATGGTTTATTATGGTAATAGTTTTATTGCAAATATGTTTTTAAAACACAGTAGATATGACTGCATCAATTTCTGTAATTCATTCTTATTGCTGATTTCCCCATGGCATTGAAATGGTTTTTCTTCCTAATGTCCCATTTTACCAGCTAATAGTGTAACAATAATTTGCATTTCTGTACCACCTTTACACTGAAATAGTCAAAAGTAGTCAACGTGAATTTATATCATGCCACACATTTTTCTCCAATGTTAGATTTTTTTGGCTGCTTGATACATTTACAATAGCTGCAGTCAATCTCCCCGTAATAGTTCTGTATACTTCAATAATTCTGTCTTTCAATAAGAATTATGAAAGAGGATGAAAGCTATCCAGTTATCTAGTAGTGTATCCCAAACGAATTAGTGTTCAAAGGCCTTTAGGTTCTGTAAGTCATGTCACATTGATAAACTAGGTTTAACAACAATGCCTCCTGAAGCATTCATCAGGACATGAAGTTATGTGGAGCTCTTCTTTTCTGGAAGTTTGTGCCTTGGAGAGGTTTGGGGGTTCAGGTTGTTCCTTGCGGGCTTTTTAAAATTTACCTCTGCTGAAAAGGACAAGAGAAATCACTGTAAGCAATACTTAAGTAGATGATAAGAGTTTTGATGATAAGATAAATGAGGGCTTTGGGGGTTTTTGTTTTCAGTGTGTATCTTGTTTATCAGATGAATGAAAGTGTATGTCCCCGAAAAGATGGCATTTTCACAGCTGGGATCATGAATCTTACCTAATGCAATACTATAATGAGCCTGCATTTACCATTGCTTATCATTTTTAGTATCTAATGGAGAACTTTAGTTTTCAGATGAACTTAAAAGTCCGTGGTTCAAATCATGTCTTATGCCATTTTTTAATTATTCATGGTGTCCAAGTGCTCAATATTTTTAAAGATAATTGGGTTTTGGGTTTTTTGTTTGTTTTGTTTTGTGTGTATCCTTAGTAGTGTCCTATCTTTTCTCCCATTGAAGTCAGTGGGTATTCAAGTGTAGAGTTTGGGCAGCACTCTAAATCCTTTCTGGAACATCATTCTGAGACTCTCCACTTCCAAGGGGCAGTTGACAGTCACAATCTCTCATTCCTAATCTGATTTTGGAATCTGTGCCCCATGAGTTGCAGATGGCCATGTATTTCAAACCACATCATGAGGATTTATTCTTGATAAACTATAAGATCCATTTGTTGCTGCTTTAAAAAAAAAAAAAAAGAGTAGACAGCTATGCTACTGCAAGCAGTCATTACGGAGCAATGAAACCCTATGCATCTTGTAGGCTTATGACAGTGCAGAGATAGCAGATAAAACAAACTAGTTCACAGTGTCTGTACAATGCCTCATTAGAAATCTTTTAATAATTTTGGCTATGTCTGCTGATCTGTGAAGAAATGTCCAAACAAAACAGATCTGACATACATATATGCAGACTTACCTGTTTGTGGGTTTTGTTTGTTTGTTTGTTTTTTGCCCTGTGTGAAAAACAGTCTTCCTCAGCTAGCAGGAATCTATGCGTTTGATTTCTTTTAAGCCTCTGGATTGGGGTTTCTTTTGTGGCTTAGCCATAGAGTAGTTTTGAGAGGCACGTTTTACCCAAATATGTTTAAACAGTAATATAAAGATGATATTTGAAAGATTTAAAATAATGTATGTTGGATGAATGACAATGCTTCATAAATGTTCTACAAGCTTCCATTACGGTTGGTTTACTGCGTTCCCAAAGTTAGGGCTAAATGGAAGATTTATTCATACAGAATTGTCCATTGCATAGGGCTAACTGAATGGCACGTGGCAGAAATCTCAAGATCATCTTCAATCTCTCACTAAGGACAGTCACTTTATCCTTTTGATGAATGGCTTTTTTTTTCCTGTTTTGGAGAAGGAATCATAGAACTCATTATACTTCATTCATTCACAATGATTCGTTAATGCTTAATTATTGTCCAGAACCTGATTTGCATTCTTCTTAACCATTTATCAAAAAGGCATGTTTTACTTGTGCCTGGTATGATTAGCGGTTGGAAAAAGTAAGGCTGTTAAAACTTTCAAAGCTTAACCATTATTCCTACTTTATCTCCTGAATCCTGTCAGGAGAGCACTTCTCCATCCATGTGTTCAGAGAGGCTCAGGTGAGATAAAGATACAAGTAAAAAGTAGGAGGTAGCAATGTGAGGGGACAAGCTGGCACTCAGTAGAGACGGAATTACCAGTGAACACACACTCCTGAACTAGGAATCCGTATGGCTCCTGCACATTTGAGTACTGTCGGGTACTACACAGATATGTACAGAAATATATAGACACTTTCAGCAAGATAGCTTCTTACAGTAGCAGAATACCTCCACCTTTGAAAAATAAAACTATTCTATGGCTTGTCAATCAGAGAGTCTTTTACGTTATATCTGTAAAGGTGGAGAGTTTAATGGGTAGGCAATGTTTGTTCTGCATTTCAAGTGTATCATTGCACTAGTGTAAATTTAGCTCTTGTAAGCCTGATCTCCTGGCGCTGAGATTTAAGTGTTTGAACTTTAGTTGAAAGAAATACATTGATTAGTCTTTGATTTAGTTGTTTCTCACTGAAAAGATGCCGAGTAATGACTTGCACTTGCCCTTCTGTATTTTTATTTAGTAGCTTCCCCTCCTCATTTCCCTTTTCTTCTTCAACACCATTTTGCCTAAAAGTCTGCAGTGCTATGAGGAGGAAAAAAGAAAAACAGTTGTCACACTGCAAATATAACTGATTCAGTAAATAACATTTTTAAATTCCCTGGGCAAACCTCTGAGTCTTCACTTAGGTCGATTAGTGCTTTATTCTGTTAACAGTGGCATGTTTGATTCAGACTGATAGACCAAGGTAGTTGGCTTACTGCTTTCTCCAAAGAGTAGCCATGAAAGATGAACTATTTCTTAGAGATATAAAATACCTCATCCAATTTTTATGTACAGTTGCGAAAAGAAGTTCTCCTGAACTATTTGTTAAAGTTAACGTTTGGGGTTTTTTTTCCCCCTCATGGTGACTCAAACTGAGAAATCCTTTTTCTTTTATCCCGTTAAACAGAGAACATACTAGGATAAGTCTTAGCCCAGACAAGTTATAGCTAAACTCCAAGCTTCTGTCAGTTGAATGTCCACAAGATCAGACCAAAGATTAACAGTATGATTTGGCAAATGATTACAGTTTCAGTACCCAGACAGAGCCAAAAACCAGGGGACAGGGAATGGATAGATTAGATTTTGTTGTCTACAGTGACAATGTTTTCTGCTTTTCACTAAATACTAAACTTTCTCTCTCACTTTGTAGCGAACCTTCAACTTGAATTCATTTCAAGAGAGAAAAAATAATACTTAGAAACTGTCAAGAATGAAATGCAGCTTTATGTTGCTTCAGGAGAAAAAATTTTTGGCTGATCATTTTGTTAAATAAAGGCTTTGTTCAGAGTTTATGAATATCCCTAGGATGCTGGTGAAAAGGGAGCTCCTTGCTTTAGAAAGAACTTGGGCAAGTGATGCAAGAGAGAGATGCTCTAAATTGAGCTAACTAATGTGAATTAAATAACTCACAATGAGATTAAGTGGAGACAAAGTTTGTAGCTTTTGCACACTGTGGTAAGTCTGATTATATACAGGATGACAGCCTTTTTCTTGGCCTGCTAATCTTTTTAGAGAAATTACAGGCTGTGTACATTGCCTGGGGCTTGACCTCGAGTTACTCACTTTGCATTTACCAACCGAACTGTTAAGCAGTTTTTAGTATTTTTGGGGCTTTTCCTTCTAGAGAAGTTATCACCATTCTTTCTCCGTTGTTCCAGTTCTCTGCTCAGAAAATACAGATAGTAGTACTGACTGTCAGGATGTAATGAAAAGACAAATACTCTAGTGTGAGTATTTACTCCCATTATTCCAGAAGCCAAGTGCAAGTATCTTCAGAGCGTTTTGCTTTTCCTCTTTGTTCCACAGCTCAGCTTGTACTAGAACAAATCCCAAGCTACAGCAACCTATACTGATTATCAGACAGGGCAGATACTAAAGTTCGTCTGTTCTCTTCCATTTGTGAAGAACTTGATGAAAAGTTATGCGTAATCAACTATGACATGTTAACTGTCCAAGGGGGTGACTTGATTTGAGTCAAGAGAGCATTTGATTATTAATGATAAAAGTTTGAATAAACAGCATATTGCTTATAGTCCCAAGACTCTGTTTGATCTGAAGATTAAACCCCATTTCTGCTGTCAGACTTGCATATGACTTGCTCTGGAGCAGTTTCTAGCCCTGGTATGAGAAGAACTGTTGGCACGAACCAAGCTTCCCCCAATTTTTTAAATGGCTGCTCTGTTGTAAATAGTTTGGTAGTTTGCACTTGAACAGCTGTTGCTAGCTGATAACTAGTTCATCTTCTAGAAACTGGGACTAATCTGCAGTGTGTGTGGGGGGGAATCTAGATTCATCCTTTATTTTGCTTTAATAGCAGCTTATTATTTTGTAGTTCTTCTCTTCTGGAGAAGAAATACACTCCTGGTATTTCTTAGGATATTTTTGACTTTGTTCAGCGTTCCTTTGCTTCATTAGAAATAATTGTAACTGGCTTTTATGCAGAGCTTTCATCCTCAGAAACCAAATTGCTTATAAAGAATTCAAGTGATGGTATCTCTCTATCCAGGTGCAAGGAGAGGTGGCTTGGTCCAAACAAACTGGTGGTAGAACTAGAACAAAACCTGTGACCAAATCGGGTGCTCTGTCATAACATGGAACAGAGCTCTGCCTGCAAACTGTAGCAGTCTCTCCAGGTTCCCTTCTGAAATATCTGTGCCATAAAAGCACTCTCCGTGGCTTCCAGGCAGTAGGGAGAACTATAATGAGTTAGGACTGGATCATAAAATGCTTATTTTTTTAAGAGACTTTACTGGTATGTTGTGTGGATGTTCTTTCTAATGTATGAAATACTGAAGTTGTGTATAAAACTGCATTTATTTGTGCCTTTTTCAGGGCATTAAAATAATGGAGACAGTTCTTCAGGAGCAGTGTGGGCAGTCATTCTAATGAACGATTGTGAGTACAACATCCAACTATAGATAAGGAAGAATTGTTCTGAGTTTGTAATATCTATTGCACGTTATACACTTTGTGGTTTTACAAATAAACTTTTTTCTTGTGTTACAAAAAGCATGCAACCTTTATGCAATTTTCAAAAAAAAAAAAAAACTACTGTACCATTAGGCTTAACACTACTCCAGAGTTTCTAAATAGTATGTTGATTAAGACTTCTTGAGTGATGTCTTTTATCCTGTCCTCTATTAATATATCATGAGCATGATAGTCACTTAGTAAAATAAGATGTTAGTTCTATCTAAAGATTTCTTACTGAAAAATAGTATCTCCAAGGGTTATCTATGGAAGGAAGATTCGGTCAACTCTTAAAGTAGCTTCAGAGCAAGACCAAATAGCTATTGATTTACCTCCTAATAAACGCCCTTCTAAAACCTGTTTTCTCTGCTTTTACAGGCGAAAATGTATCTATCTGGCGTTTCACTGGCACAGTATATCTTTATTGCCATCAGAATTTCAACTGATATTATCCAAACTTCACTGGTACCATCTTACTGAGGAAAGAGGATTTAATATGCACAGTTAGAAGAAAAGGTGGCTATAGACTGCAAATCTTTTACATAAGATTAAGGAATCATACTACTTAAGAGAATGTGTAAATCATGGAGAAACAGATGTAACCTTGGAAATAGCGTCTTCCTTTGAATTGGTGATGTAATCTCTAGAGACTAAGAATTCAGTAAGGGAAAATAGAGCCACAAACCAAAAATAGTCCTTGTTGCTACGAAGAGACCCTTCTCAAGTCAACCAGTTGCTTTGCATCTAATCAAGGGAGATGCAAGCATACCTGGGTTTTGTTTATTTCACAGCTTAATTTTGCGGCATAGAGATTTTGTCCTACAAAAATGAAGGTCAACTTCAGTAGCTGAGTAGCTTTACTATTCTCAGTTAGGGTCAACAAAGTTAATTATTTCTGTCCTGATTGCTGTGTTAGAAATGTCTGGTTATTATACTCATGCCAGCATGATTATTTTTGGTTGTAAAGACATTCCTCAATACAAGTTTTAAAGTGCATATATTTAAGTGCTTATTTTCAATTCAGTTGAAACAACTGAATTATTCAGTTGTTTCTTTTCTTTCGCTTCTGAACAGAAAAGGAAAGCTGTAGGGGAATTGATAAAGTTCTCAACAAACAGAATCTCATACACTTTTTCTCCTTTTGCTACACACTGTAACAGGATAGTTTTATTTTAAACTATTTATTTTAAAATTCAGATAACCACAAAACAGTTTTGATACCCTTATTGAGGCTGAATACTATCACACTCTACAAACAGAGCCACTGAAATAATAGTGTTAAAAGGTGCAAGTAAGTACTTATAAAATGAGTATAAGCATAATTGTTTTCACTATGGAAGATTTTGAGAGGAAAAGTTTCAACAAATCTGTACTCTCCTGTCAAATGCCAGTGGACTTCTGTATTTAATGCCGTAGTGCAAGGGCTTTAAAAGCAAAGATGACATTATGTTCAGTTTTAATGAGAATGTTGTTTGATTTAGGGAAGAGACTTGAATCACCGTTGCTAGTGGAATTGGACAAAAGGTGAAATAAAGTTTCTGTAGAATGAAGGAAATGCTATTCTTACTGGCTAATTGAACTAGTCAATGAAGTCCTTTCCAACCCTATGGGCTGGAGAAATGGCAAGAAACTTTTTACCTGAAGAAAAAAAAAATTAAGTTGCTTAAAAAGGTTAAGACTAAAACATGCATCTAAAAAGTGAAGCTTGACTTACAAGTTGCACAGCCAGTATTTTACATGACAGAAATATAATGTCATGCCCAAGTGTAAAGATTCATCCCACTCATTTCAGCTGGAAAATGATATATAAAAGGACAAGCACTTGTACTAAAAAAAAAAAGTGCTAATGAATTTGACTGTAATACTGGTGGTTTGCTATGCTTAACTCTGTAAATTGTAATTGTTCTGTGTGCTTTCTGAATTTTGGAATAATGTACTACAGGTTTTCATACTATTTCTATTCTTCAGAGAGACTTCTGATCTTAACTGGATAATATTTTAGTTCTATCCTTGCATAATCTTGCAGGAGACAAATTCATGAATGAATAATTTAAACACAGTAGCAAAAAAAAAAAAAAAAACTTAAAGGATGATTCATGCTAGGAAGTGGAGAGAAAAAGTCCATGTGATAAGAAATTTGTGAGGCTAGATTAGCTCCTTTAGTAGCTTATTGCTACTGAGCTTATCTGAGAGTTGAGTTCAGACTTCCCCCTTCTGGCACTGCTTTTCCCCTGAGATGATCCAGTTTTTAAAATTGGTCTGATGCAAGCAGCATTGTGAAAAATGCAGCAGTAGTTATTTGGAAGCTCAGATAGGACAACTGTGTAGCTCTGGTAGAAGAAAACTGTATTAAAGTTTAAAGTGGACCAGATAGAGAAACAATATCTAAGCAGGAATCAGATGAATCTTAACACTCATAAGATGTCCCATGTTTACAATGTTTCTGTCTGACTGAGGAGACAGGCTACTTGAATATACCTCATTGTTCACTGTACAAGAAGCAGATGATTGTTATTGCATAGGCCAAGATTACTGAGTCTCAATCGTTCTGTCTCTTGTTGGGCCTGAAATGAGTGACTGGCTTTTCAAAACAGTTCAGCTGTGTTAACTTCTTAGGATGGGTGGGGAAGTGCTGGAATGCAGCATATAGGTTTACTACCTGAAATTGAAATAAACCATAAATAAAACATTGAGCTGAAGCTTTAAGTCCAGGAGCCTGGTAAGTTGAGGGACAAACTATTTGCAAATACAATTAATCATTTCTTAATTATGTTGAGTTTGAGCTTTGCTCTGAGATGAAAATTAGTTAATTAGTTAATTAACGTGAGCAGTAGGAGTCCTTTTTTCTAATGCGTTTGTTCGCGTGTTTCAGCTGGCTAACTGCTTACAAAAGGTAGTAATCACCTTTATATGTTTGCTAGGCACATCCACTGTTACCTTAGTAAATGAAATAGAGCCATGAATCTGGCAGCAAAGCCATTTATATTGACCTGGAGACTTATTGCCAGTCTATCAGGGCATGGGAGGAGATGTTGCTGCCTTATGTTTTGTATGCATGTTAATTGTTGGATAGCTCTGCCTGTCGTCTTCCCAGACCACAAAAACTGAATATTGTACTAATGTGCCATCATGGAATTGTCCAAAGGTTCCGTGATCACAAGCTAAAATACAAAGTGCGAGGGTGGAGTACATTTACTAAATGGCATCCCCATTCTGCAGTAGCACACCATACTCATTTTGTATCTTTTATAAAATAAAAGAATTAGAATGGCCTGTGTCTAAACATGTTTTTCTTTTTCTGGACGCTTGAACCAATTAGTTGATTGTCAGACAGCAAAATGATGAGATTCTTATTTTTCAAGATGGGTTGTATTTTATTTTCTCAAATGTGATGTAAACATTGTGGACTCTTTGTTTTGCTATACCTGAATGCTATGGACCTGCTTATGTCATTAGTTAATGGTCTGAACTATCCTATTCTAACGTTAAATGAGGGTGTACTAATAAACAACCCAGTTTACTAACTGCAGCCAGGGACCAATTCTCCTGTAGTGTAAATCCACATACCTTTGCTTACATGGCTGGTACTGCACAGATTTACCTATGGGAAAATACATCGTGATGAGGAAGCATGACAGAGTCCTTAGAAAATGACTGTATTTTATATTGGCACAGTGGGGCACGGTATTTTCCGTCATCTTTTTTCTTTTGTTTTTTAACTGATTCTCATGAATCTGGACTCTGAATGCCGAACAGTAAATATTTATGGATTGTAATGACCAAGGCTAAATACACTCATTAGCATATGTATTCTTCTTGAGTTACTGCTTTGTGTGCCTGAGGAAATTATCAAATTACTCTTATTTGAATTGCTATGTGCAATTTTAGGACTAACATTTTTATTTCTTCCCATATCACCGAATTTTGGTACGAGGGTAGTAGTTCCTGTACTAAAGATCTTTGCAAGTGCTGGTTGCCTTGTTGAAGCTGAAGTCATCCTGCTACTGAAAGGTATTTCTGCATTTTCTCTGAGCAAAATCATCGGCCACTGGGACATCGAAGTAGTTCTTGTCAGCATGACTGACAGAGTCCCATAGGACTCCGCAAAGTGACTTTGACAGGAAACGGAGGACGTGATGGACAACTTCCTCAGGGAAGTTGCTTACTATAGAGATGGGAATGGGATGAAATAAAAGGTCACATTCAGCCTATTATTGCTTGTAGTGAATGATCAAAAAAAAATCCATTTTCTGTATTCTAACAGCTCATGCTTCAGGAGCAAGGGATGGCAATTCCTATGTTACACTGAATCGACAGCGTAATGGGGGCAACGGCTACCAGAGCATTTGGAAGTGAGAGCTGAAAACGTTGTATTATTAGTTAAAATACGTTTTAATCCTGTTGGGCGATTAATTTCATCCATCTATTTTCTTCAGCTTGCTTTTTTGTGTGTGTTATATGTGTATCTGTATGTTTCTCGTGACTTATATTGCCATACCAAGATAAAGATAGATAATTCCAGATAACTATAGAGAACTAACTGACTGGATATTGTCCCCTTTCAGTCTGTCTTTAAGACAATGTGTCTTGTTATGCTGATTGCTAACTTCAGAAGTACAATTTTAGTCTCTGGGTATAAAGAGAATACTAAAATTGAAACTGCTGAAAAAGGAAAACAGCTGACTTTTTATACTTTTCATGTAATTTTTCAAATGTCCAGAATTTTGGCCAGCTGTAACCATAATGGTTTAAATAATGATTTGATTTGCAATATTTTTTTCTGGGATCTGAACAGTGGGACTTTTGACAACATTGGGCCCTCAGAAATTGCTATCTCAGAGCATTTCTGTTAGGCTATTTTCTAAATAACAGGATGATAAAAGGAAAGGCAATCCTTTTTTTCCCCCCTCTAAATTGTTTTATGGAACTGAATAACTACATATGTGCAGTTGGTTGATTCTGTGTACGCTAAAAATATATGCAGGTAACTGCTACATAAATGTGGTCTGAAAATGTTGAAGTAACAAAGTTAAATTTAAAAATTGAGAGAATCAGTATTTCACTCAATTATTGTGTTGTGGTGTTGCATTAAGGCTAACCTATCACCATTTCCATTAAAAAGTCGTCTTTGTCTAATATCTGACTCTTACCTCTGAAAGATGAATGTTGTATGCCAGATGTCAGCTGGAATTCATTTCTTTGTTTACAAAATATTTATAAAAAGAGTCAGTGTATCCATCTTGTTTACCTCAAAACGTTTGTCATCTTGCTGGTTTTCATCCTACTGTGGCGCCTCAACTTTTATACAGCTCTTTCAGAAAAATTTCAGGATGAATCCACTTCATGCCCATAACAAATGTTTATCATGATGTGCTATGTTTATTGACAGTTTTCAATTTTTTCCACCTGTGATCTGTCTGACTGAGGTAAACTTTCCCGCCCCTCTCATGTGA